GCTATTTTTTTTATAAAATTCTTTCTTTTTTAATTGATGATATTTACTTAGCGTTAGTCATCTCATCGTACAAAATTTATCCCTTTTGCTATGTCTGATACAAACTTGCAAGACATTTTTGATAATTTTGATTATGTTCCTAACGATTATGATGATTTGGAGAGTATAACCTTTGCTGAAAGTCTTATGTCAGAGAAGCATTAAAAGCGATAATAGTGCATTAAATTATGATATAGAAATGCCTTTCTTTTTAATAATGCCAATTTTGAAAGAGCAAGAATACTTATAAAAGAGGACGAAAAAAATGATATATTTTTATTAAAAGATATTGATACTAATACTAAAGTAGATGTTAATACATCAACAATTTCAATATTTGATTTAGAGTCGACTACATCAGGATCAACTGATGGAAATGAATATTTTGTTATAAACACAACAAACGCTAGTGAATCTTTATCAGAATGTCCAATTTTGGATATTAATAATAGTTCCATTCAATGCTGCTCAAGCTATTTGGAAAGACAGAGGCCACTTTTCCAACTAATTAGAGCTTAGGAGATCAATCCAGAGATTTTTCAAAAAGCTCAAACAAAAAACAATTTATTAACAATAGGTGTATGTCATTTCCACTTCCTTTATGATCAAAATCAGCTTCATCTTCCAAATACCAAAAGACACGTTCAATTGAAAAAATTGGATTTTTTGTCAGTGTTGCTTATTTTGTAACAAATATAAACATTTTTTTAGTCGAGGTAGGACTTGTATATAGCATTTGAGACATGTTTTTGGAAAATATGTGCAAATTTCTTGTGTCAGACTTAAGATTTGCCTATATTCAAACAGGAGATAGAATCAGAAAATATTAACGATAACAATGATCTAGCAAAATATCGATCTAGATATATATGTTCAGAGTGTTTTATTACACATAGTGGGCATTTTTATGAGTGAAGAGACCGTAAAAATGTGTCAAATTTTGAATGCATAGATATGCATAAGGATGATACAAGTAAAGCACTTCAAATTATAGGTCGCTGGGTCTTATCTATGGTAGAATCTACTGACGAGAATAATAAAAACAATCTCTTAATATGTTTGACTAACATGCTTTCAACATTTTATAATACCAAGTCTTCTTTAGTAGTGGCAGATTATCCTAGCCTTCTTTTTGTAAAGATTGCTTTGAGACTGAGGCACATTAACATAACAAAAATTATGAATCAAAAATATAAACTCACCTCTGAAACAGCCACAGACTTTGGCAAAACATTAGGAATTATGACATGGAAAACACGACATGATGTACAAAAAATAAAATCAAACTTGAAAATCCAACATCACTAATAAAATATCAGAATGGTTTTCTTTCATGTCTGGTAAACTTTTTTAATAGATTTATTGAAATGTTACAAAAAAAAAAATACAAGATATTAATTAGAAAAAGAAAGCAAAGGGGCCTTCCATTAAAGAATTTTAATACAAGCTGTGTGAACAAGATAACTGCATTTCTTATTTCAATAGTATTAAATATAGCATTTCTGGTCACTAAAATTTGGCTAACTCATACTATGAGTTTGCTTTGCCAAAATCCAAAACTATATCACTCCCTTTATAATATTCTTTGCATAGTAAACGTAGTATTCCATACGCATCAATATGAAAGATTGTTAGAAAAGGTCGTTAACAAGATGTAAAACCAGAAAGTAGACTGTTACAAAGTACTAACATATGGAATGTATCAATAATCGATAACATAGATTTTATAGAACGAACTTATGCATATGGAAATATCTTTGATGTTACACGTAAAAGCGTACATACTACATTAAAAATGATGTTTCAATTTATTATACCCATACAACTTCAATGTTATAATCCTATAGATACCAGAGGTTCTAGTAGAGATGACTAATCTATATTTGGCACTTCTGTTTTTACAAATAATCTTCTTTCTCTTTATAAGAAAATGTTTCAAATTTTCTAACTACACGCATAGATAATTGGGATGCAGATAGTATTTTTAAAGACATTGCTCAAAAAATACCAATGGGATGTAATGTATCACATCTAAATGTTGTTATACTTAAACCAGACGACAATCTGAATTGCAATATGAACGTTAATAATTAATGGTATTTGTATTATGATAATGTAGGAATAACTAATACTAGTTGTTGTCCAGAGCGTAGCGAAGGATTATATATATTTACGAAAGGTGATCACAAATAGAATCACGTGCCGATATCCCATTGTCCGCATGTGCTACATCATGATTTTATGCTACGTTATAAATAAACAAGATGACGTTAAACAAAATAAACAAAATAAAGTATTACAAGTATTACATACAGTATTATAAGAGTGAGAGAAATTATAGAAAAAAAAACAAAAAAAATTATTTTATATTTATATTTTATTATAATAGAATTTTGAGTTCTCAGTTTTCAGGTATCATAGAAACTAAACGTTTTTCTTCGTCTAACCATTCTTGTAGTCTTTTACACTCTTTAATATGCTGAAGTCTTTCAAAATTAAATGGTTTGAAAAGTAGATCTTTAAGTGTACGTACTCATGAGATTGTCACAAAAGAAAGACCTGTGGCAAACTCTTTATTTCCAAGATCAATTATGGCATTTTGTAACATGAGACCTTGACTTTTATGAACTGTAATTGCCCACGCAAGATGAACAGGAATTTGCAAACGTGAACAAGAAACTCCAGATTTACCATTCTAGGTACGTTGAATTGGTAGGATGGGTACAACTCTTTTACCCTCTATGCTAGCAATTGTGGGACCTTTGTAATTATCGAAAGAGATCAGAACTGCTATAGGAAGGGAAGGTGGTCCTTGATCTTCTTGAAAAATTATGTCTTAGACAGTTCCCATTGAACCGTTGACTAGTCCACTTTGTATTTACAAATTTACTGTTAATATAACTTGTGCATATCTTACCAGCAATATATATGTTTCAAAACCATATGCTGTGTCAGAGTCAGCTTTTTTTGCTTCACTCCCACCTGTATATATAGCTTGAATTTTAGCCACAGGAGCATTTAAAGATCAAAGTCGATCTATATTTATAAAATTAACTTCAGCCCACTTTGTTAAGATGAACAAAGCATCATAGAATCTATTATGTTCTATTATGCTGAGCTTATCTTCAATTCGTGTGGTAAGCTTTCTCCAATCGTCTATAGTAGATTCACCATTACAAAGTCTTAATAAAATGTTTCTAAATTCCTATTATTCTATAGAATTCCCTGATTGACGTTGAATGGTTTCAAGCTTATACACCTCTCTGAAATGTTTGTATGCTATAAAACTACTATTAGATAGTTCATCTCGCTTAGTGTTAGCATATATAGGAAGATTAAGAACAGGCGGAATTTGGCCAAAATCACCAAATAGGATAATTGACCTACCGTCAGATGGCTTGTTATTACTCTCAGGAAAAGCTTGCCGAAGTCGCATATCAATTAATGCTAGCATTCAGTGACCAATCATGCTTTTTTTCATCAATTATCACATATTTAATCTATTTTGTAGTTGCTTCAGCTGTTCGCCTTTTATATCTATACGTTTGCTATCATTAATTATTGGTATTGATAGCCCCAAATGTACTGTTATTCCATCGATATTGAACGCTGCAACTCCAGTTAGTGCGAGCACGATTATGGGCAACTTGGATCTAGCTTTTTTCATTTTCTAGAGTTTACTTCGAATTGCCTTGATTAGATAAGTCTTCCCAGTTCCAGCAGTTCCCATTACAATTAATCTGAGAGGTTTGGCTTGATGTCCTGCAAGTACTTCTTGATAATGGGACTCTATTTGTTTAAAGATTGTTTTTTGAATATCATTTAGTGTTTGATAATCTATTATTAAATCTTCTTTTTTTTCATTAGGCCTAGAGTTCCTATTTACAAATATATCAATGTCTTTGAGATCCATATTAAAGTATCATTGCTTTGGATCGTTAATCCAGTCATAGTTTTGATTTATGTCACATGATCCTATATCAGAAGAACAGTTGAAATTTGTATTTGGATCTATTCTGACAAGAAACATCCAATTGGATTAAAATTCTTCATCTTCATCGTCTTCAATTAACTCTTTATCGTCATCAATTATTTCACTTTCCTCATAGTCTAGTATTGATCCAAGTAGATTGGCTGGGTCAGAATTGATTTCCTTAATATATCGGCTGTATAAAGTAGATTATTCGATAGTATCATTTTCCGTTAATTATTGAAGGTTTCTGTGATGAACGTGAAGAAGAACTTTTATGTGACAATACTCTTCCCATTGAGGACTTTCATATAGTGGTGATGGGCATGGATAAATCCGTATAATGTTTTCCTGTGGAGACTTGTTCAATTTATTTTTGACCAATTTATGTGTTAGTTGAAGTTGATATAGGGAGAAATCCTCAAGCTCAGTAAGTCGTTCCCAATATGCTTTTAATGGTGATTTTTCTATTTGTCCTATATCATTAATATTAACATTAAAAGATTTTTCGCTTTTCCCACTACCACAAATCCATCTCAGTACTTCTTTGTTGAGGTTCAAGAAGACGAACTGGTGGCTTAAATGGTAGAGAGAAAGGCTGAAAAAGATATGGTAAGTTTCTTGAGTAGAGATATCCCGTTCTGTTACACTATGTAGCAGTAGCTTTTAGACTGGAGTAAGAAGTAGATCTTCTGGCTGACTTCGCTAAGAATTTGATTCAATATATCTGAAAAGGCTGCTGATCATGATTCTGATTTGCTAGCATACTTCAAAATATATTGTAGCGTAGCATGTATGCTTAAAATTGGCTTTAAATCCACATTGGCTCGCTATCCCTATAGCTAGAGTCAGCTATGTGGATTGATATACTGATCGTTTCTTGCTGTCACAAGCTCTGAGTACCTATGATCATCTTCTCGCATGAATGTTTTTTCAATAACTTTTTTGGATATCCAAATCTGCAGCATTGCTTTCCTTCTCAGTTTATACGAAGACAATACATTAGGCTACATTGGGTATATCTTTGTAGCTTGTTAATCAAATTGATATTGTCTTATTGATCATCATCTAATTCATTGCTATTCTTTTGGCATGGATGCTGTTCAGGAACAGGCATATCGAGTCCCAGATTTACTGTAGTGATTAGACTATCAAGATATTGTATAACTTCGCCCATTATATCTTCATTTTCTTTCATCTTTTCCCATTCTATTGCAGGTGCGTTTCTTTTTTTTCTGATCCCATGAACATGCACACTGCCATGATGCTGCCATTTAAACCTGTATCACTAATCCTCCAAATCCATTGTACTTTTAGGACATCATTAAAGAAGATTTCAAATCGCTTACTAAAAAACCAGAATACAATATGGGGATTATTAATAATGTTTTGGTTATGTTGTTTGGCTGAGATTTCGAAGTTGCCATTAGTTGGCATAAGCTTATGAAGTTCAGGCCAATGCAGATCAGCAGCACTAAATGTGAAAAAAATTAAACCTTGTACTTCTATTTGCTTGATCATATCAGTAAGTTCGTAACGTCGCAAATAA